GAAATCGTACTCTTATGGATATGGTTAGGAGTATGATAAGTTATTCCTCTTAGTCAATGTGGGGTGAAGCTCTTATGACAGCTATGTATATCTTGAACAGGGTTCCTAGTAAGTCACTTCCATCAACTCTATTTGTGTTATGGACTGGTAAAAAGCCCAGTCTAAGACATTTACATATTTGGGGGTGTCCTGCAGAGATAAGAGTATTCAATCCACATGAAAAGAAATTAAATCTAAGAACTATTTTAGGATATTTTATTGGTTATCTAGAAAAATCCAAAGGATACAAATTTTATTACCCTAATCATGGTACGAGGATAGTAGAATTTGGCAATGCAAAATTTATAGAAAATGACAAAATCAATAGGAGTAAAAAATCTTGAATGATTAATTTTGATATTAAGGAGATTCAGGTTAATTCTCTCATATCATCTCATATTCAAGAAATTATTATTCTTCAAATCAATGAGAGTATTGATGAGGGTGAATAATAAAATAACATCGACAAACTCTCACATAATGTTGATGTCGTCGTTAATGATCTTGTAGAACCATCACAATTGGCAACTTTGAAAAGATCTCGAAGGAAAAGGAAATATATCATTTCTAATGATTATGTGGTATATCTACAAGAATTAGATTATGATATAGGAATAAAAAAAAGAGACCCCTTATCATTTTCATAAGCCATAGAAAGTAACGATTCTAAAAAATGGTATGATGCAATGAAAGAAGAGTTAAAATCAATGGTCCATAATGGTGTTTGAGAACTCCTTGAATTGCTTAATAATTATAAAAGAGTCGGTTGTAAATGAGTCTTTAAGATAAAATGTGACTCTATGAGCAATATCGAATGATATAAAGCTAGACTTGTGGCCAAAGGTTTTTCTCAGAAAGAAGGTATCGACTATAACGAAACTTTTTCTCCAGTTTCTAGAAAGGACTCATTGAGAATCATCATGGCATTAGTAGCTTATTATAATCTATAGTTACATCAGGATGTGAAAATAACATTTTTGAATGGGGATCTAGATGAGGAAATCTATATGGAACAACCCGAAGGATTTATAGAAAAGGGAAAAGGAAGTTGGGCTTGTAAACTTAAGAAATCCATTTATGGCCTTAAATAAGCTTCTAGACAATGGTATATAAAGTTTCATAATACTATTACTTCCTTCGGATTTAAGGAAAACACTGTTGATCACTGCATATATCTGAAGGTAAGTGGGAGTAAGTTTATTATATTGGCCTTATATGTTGATGATATTTCACTTGCCAGTAGTGATCTTGGTTTATTGCATGAAACCAAGATATTTCTCAACAAAAAGTTTAAGATGATTGATATTAATGAGACAGCCTATGTTATTGATATTGATATATTTAGGGATAGATCTTAAGGATTATTAGGATTGTCTTAGAAAGGATATATTAATCGTATCTTACAGAGATTTAATATGCAGCTTTACTCAGCTAATGATATACCTATTACTAGAGGTGAAAAATTCAGCCAAAACTAGTGCCAAAAAAATGACTTAGAAAAAAATCAAATAAAGAATATTCCTTATGGGTGCGTAGTTGGAAGTTTATTATATGCTCAAACATGTACAAGACTAGATATCAATTTTGTAGTTACAATACTAGAAGATACCAAACCAACTCAGGAATGGATCATTGGAAAGCTACAAAGAAAGTAATGAGATATATGTAGAAGACGAAAGATTATATGCTCACATACATGAGACCAAATCAGCTTGAAGTGACAGGATATTCAGATACTGATTTTGCAAATTGTCTCGATAGTAGGAAGTCACTTCAGGATTTGTATTCATGTTAGTTGGTGGGGCAATTTCTTAGAAAAGTGTAAAACAATCGCTTATTGCATCATCAATAATGGAAGCTGAATTTGTGGTATATTTTGAGACCACAAATCAAGCTTCATGGCTACGAAATTTTATCTCAGGACTTGGTGTGATCGACTCAATTGTCAAAACGCTGAAGATTTTTTGTGATAATACCGCAGTAGTTTTCTTCTCTAAGAATGATAAGTACTCTTAGTGGTTTCAAGCACATCGAGATAAAGTACTTGATGGTTAGAGAAAGAGTTCAGAAACAACAAGTGCCAATTGAGAACTTGAGCATCACTATGATGATTATTGATCCATTAACAAAAGTCTTACAGTATAAAATATTTAAAGAATATGTTCTTAGAGGCTTGTGAGCAAGTCATAAAAGATATGGTGATGCATGTTTTTATGGATGCTATTTTTCTTGCTTAATTAAAGTTATTTATTTCTGCTATCCTGTTTACATTTATGTTTATGCATATTATAAATGAATTTAATAATAGGATTATTTTTATGAGATAAATTACAGAGGTCATTATGGACTATATTAGGAATGACTAATAATATTGTGATACATAGAAGGGAGTATGACATTGATGATATTCAACCGCTATGACTCGCATTGATAGTTGGACTTAATATAGTATTATTGTGCTTATTGGGCTTATTGGCTTATTTTAAAATTCATGGCCATGTATAAAATGCTTTTCAAATTTTTTTTGAATCCAATTAGGTAAAATTATTTTCAAATAATTTTTATTTTATTTATTTTGATTTTAAATATCTCTTTTATATCTTATCAATTAATGAGCCAAGTGGGAGAATGTTAGATTTTATAGCCCTTTATAATTGGATAAGATATATATAATATAATTAATTAGATTCTGATGAAATATATTGATCAATAGAAAAAAAAGTCCATTTAAAGTAGGATTCCTTAGGAAATAACTTTGATGAGAGGAACTCTCATAATAACTCATCCTAGACCCTATACTCTCATCTATATATAGACAGGACCTCTAAGGACCGTATACAGAAAAGTGATAAGAAGCGAATATCTCATAGAGGTTATAGTTGAGGGATTATAGTCTTTCCCCCAACTCTTCTCCCTAAACCATCAATCTATGTGGTCTTGTGAAAGGATAGGAAGAGAGGAGAAGGATCTAGTTCCTCTTTGCAGATTGATAATGATCTTGGATTAAAGATAGTGCCTTTGCAGATCAAACAGATGTCTATTTCATATGGTATCGAAAGGTACGCAACATTAAATTAGATCTAAGTATTTGATTTCAATCTTAGCATAAAAATATTGTTTTCATATTTAATATAGCATATTGCAGTTTTTATACTTATAGGTATTACTCAAGAATAATTTAATATAGTATATTGATGTTTACGGTCTCGTAGATCATGTTTAATTTGCAGATTCAAGAAACCATTGATATTGATGTTAAGACACTAATATTCTTAGTATCGGAACAACATAAAAAGTGCGAGAGGAGTATTAAATATCAAATCTTATCATATTAAAAATCTCTACAAAAAAAAGAGATATTATTTTGTTTTAGTTTTGTGTCCTTGCACTAGGTCTTCTGAAGATCGGTTCATGTGTGACACAAATTAATTTTAGTTACGTGGGAGGAATTCCCCTTAGAATACGGATCAGGAGAGGAATATGATGTGAAGATTATCGATCGATTTCTCCGACAATAACACCAAACCACAAACTTAGGAAATACACCGATGGAGTCTTGTTTCTATGGAGAAAGGGCATCGAAGAAATGGAACGAGTCATCTTCGTGTCTTTTCTAATGTTGAGGGATTATATGTTCCTATTTTATTTTTTTTTCTTTTAAAGGATTTCCAAATTATCATAGGATGGGGATGGAGGAGGAGGTTGTTTTTGTCGTGCTTCGCTCCAATTTTTCTGCTGCTATGAATTTAAATGACATGCAAGGAATGTCAGCTCCCCTTGCTTATGTTGGAATTAAACATGTTCAAATATATTAATTTTATAAAAAAAAAAAGTTCATTATATCAAGAGAGAGATTCATTACATCAACAAGAAAAAATAGATTAAATATGACAAATCAAATTGGTTATTGGTTCTTAAAAGAATTTTTTAAAGAGAATGATTTATTTTGAATATAATTAATGTAATGTATCTTTAGGGACTATATAAACCTCATATATTAGGTCAAAAAATAGATAGAGTTTGTAAAGAGTTTTTTTGAGAGAAATATGGAAGATCGAAGCTTGTCGTATTTTGATAACTCTATCCCTTCTTCCTATCAAAATCAACAACTTATCGAGTATGTTTTATTCAGTGTTCTAAGTTGTATATAGGAAGGCTTGCATTCACGAACAACTAATTAGCAAGCCATAATAAAATATAATAGGACCTTTACATTGCTAAATACCTTACGAGTACAAAGGTGATCGATATCATCGGGTGTTTACATCCTAACTAAGGTTTACGAAATTTGTACTGCAAAAATGTGATTGATGAGCTCACTGTTTTAAAGCGGATGATGCGATATAGGTAGGAGAATATCAGTTGAAGCTGAAATATTAGTTCCGGAGATTGGCATCTTCGTGATGAGATTGAGACTGCACCGCTTGAATATTTGCTTCTGAGATTTGGGTGTTCGGGAACAAAGAAATAGTATAGAAAGCCTGTAATAATCTTCTGTGGTGCCATAGGATGATAGTCGACTCTGTTTCTATCGACTCCAAACATTTTGGAAGCTACTAAAAAACGCAGCACAACTTTGCTGCCCAAATGGATGGCTATCCATCTCCTTTTTGCTTGGAAGAGTTATATCTGAATGAATCCCTTGGTCCTGTATTATTTTAACTCGATCATCAAAAAGCTGTTTGATATTTCAATTCTTGACAGAACCCAACTCTTCCTTCCTTCCTTCCTTCTCAACAGGTTGTATTTTTTATTTTTTCTAATTTATTTTAAGTTGATCCTGTATTATTTTATTTTCATATCCAAAAGTAAGTAAGAAATTTTATGCAATAGTAAGTAAGTAACAAAGTGCTTTTGCGGCTCAATGAAAATATCCTCTCTATATATTCAGAGGAAGAATAACAATACCGAGATATCATAATCCAAACATCCAAAGTTTCTGGAACCTAATGATCCATCGTTTACAAGATGGAACAAGCACCAGGGTCGGAGGCATAGATTTCATGATCATACATCACCACATTTTGACATGGAGGGTAGCACCACCTCGCAGATTCTTTCGCTGCCTCCACCTTATCACGTAGAGGGTAACCGGGGCAGCACCACGCCACTGATTCCTTCTTCGCTTCCTCCTCCTTCGCTTCCTCCACCTTGACTATGCATGCATGGCCTACTTTCTTCCTCAGGGTGGTTGTTAAGTTTGCAGGATCCACGCAATCTCCCACCACCACCAGTTGATCCTTCTCCTCCCCTTCCACCGCAACTGAATCAGCGCCTTCCGAAACAGCATCACCACAAGTTTGGATGAGTTCTTCACGATCATGAATGAGCTCAAGCTTGATCACCCAAGACAAGTCTGATCGATTCCAGAAGCGTACCTGCTGCAGCAACAACCTGCATGGCTTTGACGCGGCACTTGTCGCACTTCATCTGCACTTTGATCACTATCTTCTTCTGCAAAGGCCGATGAAGATGATGCAAAAAGGTAACATCAACAACAAAAGAGAATCACCCTTGCTGGGTACCTTTCAAGGTACAAAACCTCTTATCACTCCATTTCCCTTTGCTGATGCAAAAAAAAAAAAACAAGTGAGAGGTATGCATACCTTCATGCTCCTCTTTCCTGATGGATGGAGAAGAACCTGATTTGTCTATGTGTTCGAGCCAAACAAGAAGACTGTGGTGCTTATCGAGTAGTGGAAGGGGATGAGACACCTACCTATATATAATAAACACACAACGTCCTTGCTGTTTTTTTTACCTAGAGAAGAAGACCAAGAACATAGTGCAGAACGAAGTCAATGCAAATTTTACCTACAAGTTAACAACAACCCATAGGTGAAAGCTTGAATCGAAGTTTATAAGCATACAGAATAATGATGTGTTTTATCTTCTGAGGAATGATCTCCACTACTTGCAAATCTCATAACTGGAAGCACTTGTTTGTGTTGGACTGTCTGTCAAAGTTCCGCTTTTCTCATGGAAAGCATGCGGAATAAAAAGGTCAAGCACCAGCCTATTAATTTAACCGAGACAAGTCAAGGTGACTTCTCGCCATCTTCCGAGTGCTCTATGGTTCTCTTTGCTCTACCAGGTTGTACTCTTTAGGGAAGAAAGCCTAGAGCAGATCCAAAGCATTGAGTCTAGATTTCATCAGGTGCACCTACTGCATGCAACGACTACTTGTATCCAATTCCACGGACGGAGGCCAAAGACTCCTGGTGAAGTCTGGGTATGTCTGAACCCTTGCTAACTCTGAATTATCCTCTTGGGATCTGCTTTGGTTGCTTGACTATATGAAAGGAGGACTAAGTCTTGTATAAATTTAGTAGTTTAATGCGTTCCGTGATGGTTTTGTTTGTGTTTTCCTTAATTCTTTTCTCGTCCAAGTCAAGTCTTTAGCATCTCCTCGAACACATTGATCTGTAGAGAAAGTTTGATGGTTCTAAACAATTGAAAGCTTCCCTTCGTGTTCACGCTGTATCCACATACGTGATTGGGAATGTGGAAGACCTCAGTCATTGGAGGAACATGCATTGACTCCTGTAGCATTACTCTAGTCAACGGAAAAAAAATAAGTAATCTCTACAAATATTTTCTTTCTCGGAATTTTATTTGAAAAGATCTCTATCAGGTGGCGCCCCTTCATTCATTTTCTATGCTTATGTTGGGGACTCCCTCCTTTCTAATAAATCACATAAAAAAATCCATGAACCAAAACCTAATTAAAATTAAAGACTTTTTTTGTGTATAGGTTCCCTTCATGAGTATAACTTAGATCACTTCCCAACATAACATGGCCAACCTTTATTATTAAACCTATCCAAACTTTTATAAAATCAGATATGGTTTAAAGAAAATTAGTATTATCTTTTTAGATTTTTATGATAACTAATTAATAATATTTTAGATTTTTTTAAAACCATAATAGAGTATAACTTAGTTCAACTCTGAGTATTACCATCTCAATTTCCACTAAATCAACTCAAAATTTTACATAATAGTTAGAGCATGATTTTAATATGATTAGTATCATTTTTTATTTCTTTGATGATTTTATGATAATTAAGCATTAAAATAAATAATTTTTAATAATATTTAAATAAATAAAAATATTTTTGTTCAAGCGAAAAAAGACGGCCCAGAATGCTTATAGTGCATGACCTTCTTGAGTTTAAGACCCATCAGGTATGAATAGAGCTCATCGGGCTAAAGGCTCAAGTCTCAAGGGTTCGACGCACGTCTTTAAATTACTACGTGGCATGCAGACAGCATGCAAGGTCATCATCGCAAACTCAACGTCTTCCACGTACTCCTCGTTTCCTTTTTACGCATCGAGTGTTCTCCGGCACTGCCGTTGCACGCACTTCCATTACCGCCGGTTGCAACATCTGATGGCTCTCCCCTCCAACGCCTCCTCCGTACCCGCTACTGTCTCCGACGCCGACGAGTTCACGCTCCCGCCCTTGGCTCTCCGGGCGCTCCCACACCTCTCCGACTACCTCCCGAACCCCCCCGCCCTCACCAACCCCATCGACCGTAACCCCTTCTACCGCCCCTCCGACGGCTTCTACATCGCTCCCTCCGACTTCATCCTTCGCCACATCCTCTTCGACCTCTCCTCCCCCTCCGCCGTCGGAGATCTCCTCGTTGCCTACCACCGCGCCGGGCCCCGCCGAACCATCCGCTTCGACCCGGCGGACGTGCGGGCGGCCATCGTCACCTGCGGCGGGCTCTGCCCGGGGATGAACACGGTGATCAGGGAGCTGGTGGTGGGGCTGTGGGAGCTCTACGGCGTCCGGCACATCTTCGGCGTGCCGTCGGGCTACCGGGGGTTCTACTCGGCCGAGCAGCTGCCGCTGGACCCCATGATCGTGCACGGCTGGCACAAGATGGGCGGCACGGCTCTCGCCACGTCCAGGGGCGGATTCGACCTCGAGAAGATCGTCGATGCCATCGAAGCGCGCCGTTTCAACCAGGTGATGTTTGCGATGCACAAGTTCTTGTACCGTTCGAGAAGATGACATCTAATCTTTCAGGTATACTGCATTGGAGGCGACGGAACCATGAAAGGCGTGGTTAAGATTTACAAAGAGATTCAGCGTCGCAAGCTCAATGTATCGGTAACCGGAATTCCGAAAACAGTAGACAACGACATCGGCATCATAGACAAGTCATTTGGATTCCAGACGGCCGTCGAGATAGCGCAGCAAGCGATCAGCGCAGCCCATGTGGAGGCCGAGAGCGCCGTGAACGGCGTCGGGCTTGTGAAGCTGATGGGCAGGAGCACCGGGCACATTGCACTGCATGCCACGTTGAGCAGCCGCGACGTGGACTGCTGCTTGATCCCTGAGAACGACTTCTTCTTGGAAGGGAAAGGTGGACTCTTCGAGTTCCTCGACCAGAGGTTGAAGCAGAATGGGCATGCCGTCGTTGTGATAGCCGAGGGAGCAGGACAGGGTTTGATACCACGAACGGATGCCGAGGAGGAGAAGGATGAGTCAGGCAATCCGGTGTTTCTGGATGTAGGAACGTGGCTGAAATCTGAGCTGAACAAGTGGTGGGAGGTAGAACATGCGGGACAACTGTTCACAGTGAAGTATATCGATCCCATGTATATGATACGGGCAGTGCCGGCTAATGCAACAGACAACCTATACTGCACCATATTGGCTCATTCTGCAATCCATGGAGTGATGGCAGGGTACACTGGATTTGTGGCTGGCCCAATAAATGGTAACTATGGCTACATCCCGGCGGAGGAGGCGGCAGTCGTAAGGAATGTGGTGGACACAAGAGATCACAAATGGGCGTGGGTACGAACAGTGACAAATCAACCTGATTTTGTGAAGAGCTAAATGCTATGATCTTCGAGTCTGTCTAAAAGGATAAAGATTGCTGCTGTATGTTGTTGTATCTTCTTCTTCTTCTGTTATCTTTTTTGTCACTCTCTTCTTTCTTGAACGGCCACAAAGATTGCGATGCTTCTTCTCTTCTGCAATCTAACCTGTTAGAAACAATACAAGAAGACTCTATAAGCAATCTTAAAAAGCCTGACAAAGCAGTTAGGAAATCCCAAAATATCAACAATGAATGTACAGACTAATACAATATATCACCAAATCAAACACTCTTACTCCATTCCAGGTTTAAACAAAAATAAAACAATCATGTGTCTCCAAATAAGGCTCCCATCCATTAACCTGAAAAAAGGAAGGTGTGTGTACAAATGCAATACTGGAACTGTGTGGTATCCACAAATGGGAACGGTTAGTCATAAAAATTAGATACCACATGTGCATACTTTTGATGTTGAATAAGCTAATTGTTTTTGAAGGATCCTCAGGATAAAATTCCAAAGCAGACAATTCAGATATCACATCTAAACTTTCTGAAAGCACAAGCAAAGAGCTCGGAGCTAACCGATCGATCGAGGACATGCGTGTCTACTCTCCATTCTCCATGGCAATTTTCAGCTAATAATAATCTAGTTAAATGAGGAGACTTGCTCTGGAAAGTACCTCCACCAACTCATCCTTTGTAACCCAGCCAACATCTTTACACTTTTCAGATGTGAAGTTTGCTGATGCCAATTTCTTGTGATGTAAAAAAAGAAAGAGAAAAACACGAGGAAAGCAGCAAAGCTAACAATCTTGAAAGATCTTGTGAACCTGCATGAGGCACACATCGAACTATAGATTTCTGCATCAATGATTAGTGTATTATTGCAGTTAGCATTAGGTGGCATTAGGCCTCAGATTCAAATTCACATGTATGAATTGTGTGAGTGCCATATACACAGACATTTAATGTAATGAAAATCTCTTTCAATTAAAAAAAAAAAAAACTTACATCATTTAATTTAGTTCAAATACAACCAGTTCATAACTAAATAAACAATCTAATATCAAACAAATCACAACCACATTCCAATAGAGGGCCTTCTTTCAAAACTTCCATTTCATTAATCTATATTTTTAGAAAACTACCAGTCATGATATTCACAATCCTAAGGAGCTGCCATTCGGGTGCTAGCCTACCAATAAACCCCAAAAAAGAGGCCACCATATGAGAAAAAAAGGTTAACCAAGTGGAAAGAAACCAGTAGGCTATTAAAAGATTATCACATTGCATAGAAAGCATCTTTGCATTTTTCAGGTTTTCCATAAGGAACATAGAGTTGAACAAAATATCTGCAGTATAAGAATTTAGACACTAAATGTCTGCATTTTGAGAAAGAATGATCAAAGGGAGGCAAAATATTAAACATGTCTTAGCATCCAGGCTGCAATTGAACAAGGATAAGACAAATATCTAAAATCAAAGACTACTAATGAAAAAAGCTGCAAAACGAATACTTGTTTCAAGGTTAGAATTCCTGGTTCCACCACAGCATGCGTAATTGGAGCACTGCCCACAAAATATGTTTGATTAAGTTCTCCAATTACAGACTTGGACTTGATTAAAGACTTGATGTAAGCACTATCATTAAGTTGGATTTAAATATTTTAGGTCAATAGTTCATGCTCAATAAATAAATGGATTAGTTAACTAATCAGGTAAGATTATGATATAATAATAGTACAACCTCATCAAGTCCTTATAAAATTATAAATTAATTCAAAATCTTCTTCCACTTGTGCACAAAGCTCAAGAAAGAATTCAGATTATGTATCTAAGTCTATAACCATTTTATGGGCATGAAATAAATAAAAACTATTAAGCTCTTGAAAAATTGCAAAGAGTACCAGTGATAATTTATTTGTAGATTGGAGATTAACATGGAGAAAGATAAGTAGGAAAAAAAAAAGCAAAGAGAATTAGAGAATAGAAAATAAGAAATAGAGAAGAGGCAGAGAGGAAGTTGTGTAGTCTCTCTTGGTAAAATGTGAGAATGTGGTTATCAAGCATACACATTACAAGTTCACATTGAAATGGTTCTCTTGGAGTACTTCAATATAAACTAATTATATGATTTCGACAAAAAGAGCAAACTTCTTAAATAAAATTTTATGTCAAAACAATTTGAAAGTCACCTTTTCCCCTATTACAACAATAAGCATTAATGTACAAACAAACATACATACATACATACATACATACATACTAAGTATTAATGTGAATACATATATACATACATAAACTTAAATAAATTATGTCGAAACAATTTGATAGTCACCTTTTCCCCTATCAGGACAATAAACATTAATAGTGAATTACATAATATAATAT